ACACACACACACACACACACACACACACACACACACACACGACTTCCTCCATCCCAGCCCGGACCACTCTGGGCTCAGCAGGAATGAGAGCAGCTGGGGCTATTTCTGAGGGCACTGGCTTTTCACCAGGGAGTCAATGATAGGGCAGCAGCCTGCCCACCCTCCCAGGCCTTTATGTTTGCTGCTGGGCAGCCATGGGGTGTGCAAAGCATGACTGAGTCACCCTCTGGGCTCTTCTGAACATGCTGGAGCATGTCCCTGTGCTTCTGAGCCGCGTGTCTGGGCCCCCACTCACTCTGCTGCAGCCACTCCCAATGGCGGTCCCACTTGTCCGACACCTCCTCCTTCCTGGTTCCCAGCTTGTCCAGCTGTGCCTGGATCTGGGAGTGGCAGGTGGGTGGGAGAGGCATCAGGGGTGGCTCCCACCCCAATAGGCACAGGTGGCAGAGGAGGACCCCTGCACCCTCCCCACCTCATCAGCCATGGCACTCTTGTTGAGCAGCAGATTGCGCCCCAGCTCCTGGCAGGCCGTCATCTCGGGCACCCGTGCCTCCAGCTCGGTCTTCAGGCCCTGATGGTAGTTCATGAGCACCTCCACCGACGACACGTCCCTATGGTGGGTGGTGGGTAGGGGTCTGAGCCACGGGAAGCCTCCCTAGATTCGCCCCATATATGCAGGTCCTGATAAGCCCAAATCCCTGAGGCTGGGATTCCACACCATCTCAGGACACCCACCTCCCATGACCAAGTTCTGAGGGGCCAAGGTTCTTCACTCTGATTCAATGACTCCAACTTTTCCCCAAGTGCTAAAATGTCACACTTCTGTGATTCTAACCTAGAATTTCAAGATCCAATTTTTCTCATTTTTTAAAGCTATACTTCTTCTTTCTTTCTTTTTTAATGGAGGTGCTAGGAATTGAACCCAGGACCTCGTGCATGCTAAGCATGTGCTCTACCACTGAGCCGTACTCACCTGTGGCAAAGGTATACTTCTTAAGTTTCCACTAGCCAATGATTCTAAACTTCTCAGTCTGTGCTGTCCCATATGGTAGCCACTAGATATGTATGGCAGTCAAACCCTTGAAATGTGGCTAGTCTGACTTGAGATGTGTTCAAGTGTAAACTAAACACCATATTTTGAAGACTGAGTATAAAAACGAAGGTAAGATATCTCAATAATTTTCATATGCCTATATGTTGAAGTAATAGTATTTTGGGTACATTGGGTTAAATACAATTAATTACTAAAATTAATTTTCATTTGCTTCTCTTTACTTTTTTTTAATGTGGTTACAAGAAAAATCTTCAATTATATACATGGCTCACACTGGTGGCTTGCATTGTGTAACTATTGGACAGCATCATTCTAAGCTATTATCTGTGCAAAACAAATCTCAAATTTCTGAGGGTTCAACCAGTCAACAAGTAGAGCTTTATAAGACTTAATATGTCCAAATGCATTTCTGATGGTCCCACACTGTGATGATTCCTACTTAAGACTTCATATGCCTAGAACAATCTCCCTGATTCTCCCCTATCTCCCAAACATACCCTCCCCAAAATTCTCCAACTCAGTAAATTCACCCATCATTCATCCGTGACTCTTCTTTTTCCCCCTCAGCCCCTGAAGCTAATCAGTCACTCAAGACTGGACATTTATAACTGCAAAACATACTCTGAAATGATATAAAATCATAGATTTGTTTTAAAATAACTCAGCAAAGGGTGGATGGGATGGGGAAGGGGAGCGTATGGATGAAGCAGGATTGGCCAAATGTTGATGGTTGTCCAAGCCCAGTGTTCACTCTACACATGTGGGTTCATTATACTGTTGTTGCTACTTCTGTATATTTTTGAAATTTTCATAATAAGATTTTTTCAATTCCTAAAGCCAATCATTTCTTGCCATCTCTTCAACCACGACCCTGGGCCAAGACAATATCACCTCTCACCTGGATTATGTTAGCAGTCTCCTGACTGGTCTACCTGCTTCCACCTGGCTGTCCACAGTCCGTTACCCACTAGGCACCTGGAGTGATCGTTCTCAAATGTACATTATATTACATTGCTCCCTTGCTCTACGCAATCCCATGACTACCATCTCAATCCAAGGAAAGGCAAACTCCTCACCATGCCCTATTTCTCTTCTAGCCTCACTTCCTACCAGTCTCCACTCTCCCCTACCACTCACTCCATCCAGCTACAATGCTTGTTCAGCTTTTCCTCAAACATGTCTAACTGCAACCCACCTCAGGGCCTTTGCACTTGCTGATCCCTCCACCTGGAAGACTCTTCCCCCTAAAACTTTACCCAACTCACCATCCTTCACTCAGGTCCCCTTATCTTGCTTTATTTTTCTTCAGAGCACTACGATAATATTAAGTGTTTGTTTATTTACTTAACTGTTGCCTGTCTCCTCTCTCAGAATGTAAGCTGCATCAGGGCAGGGGCTCACCTTCTGGCATACAGTAGTCATCAATACATATTTGCTGAGTAAATGAATGCAGGCCCAAGGCCCCACAGTCACAGACACAGTGCTACGCATCCACCACTCTCCAGGTCCTTGTCTTCTTGGACACATGCCAGGCTACATTTCCCAGCCTCCCAGGCAGACAGGTTGGGGCCACTGGGCCAATAGAACGTGAGCGCAGGTTTAGTCCCTAAAACCTCCCATGTGATCCTCCTGCTCTCTTCTCCTCTGCAGTTGGATGCAGAAGGTCCAGCAAATGACTCCCAGGGCTGATGATGGAAGGACAGTGGCTCCCAATCAGTGCGGGACAGGCTTCTGCTGGACACTCACATCAAGCCGTTATGTGAGCAACATGTCAGTTCCTACTAGATTAAGCCACAAATATGCCTCCCTGTCCCAACCCTGGCTTCAGATCCCTCCCCATGCTGTGACACCCCCACAGAGGCAGGAGGATGTCCCATGCTCTGAGCCCCAGTGTCTGGCCTGACAAGGGGTCTTAATACACAAGAGGCATTAAAACAATGCGTAGCAGGCAGAGGTACCGCACAGGTATTGGCTATTGGGGTTTTCTATGGGAAAGGAACTGCTGATGGGCAGGGGTGGCTGCCCAGAGGCAGGTAGGAAGCCCAAGGTGGGATGAGGGGCACCTGGGCTTGTCAGCTGCTCCGATCTGGCTGGCGATGCCATCCATCCAGGAGAGCAGGTCGCGAGCCTGGCTGTGGAATCGCAGGGCGTCGGCCGTGGAGCTCACGTGCAGGCGGGCGTCCTCGCAGGCTGCCAGCAGCTCCTTCCAGCCCTGCAGCACCTCCTGCTCCCGGCTGGCGATGGCCTCCGCGTGCTCGCCCGCGTACACCGTCCGTAGCTGGGCTGCCCCTTCCTGGAGCTGCCTTACCTGAGGGGCATGCCAGGTCGAGCACCAGCCCTCCATGGGCTCCAGGCTCCACCCACTCCTTCCCCCATCTGCTGGCTGGGTGCAGAGCCTAAAAACATAAGGAGCCTGCACCCTTGAGATTCCACACTGGGTTTCATTCCTATCTGCTGCCTGATTTCTTTTTTACTTTCTCACTTTCTGACTTCTTTTAGACCCACTACCATATTTCTCTCATGTCTGCTGTCTGATGTTTCTTTAACTTACCTGCATTCTGACTTTCACACCTACCACCTCTATAGGGTCAGCCACCTGATTTTTTTGGAGTAACTCCATATTTATATCAGATCCACCACTAAATCGCTATCAGTCCCTCTGCCTAATTTCTAACAGTCATCTGTATGATGTATATAAAATAATTATCCAATTTTCACCTTCCTTTAGACCTGCAACCCAATTTCCTTCAGGTCTGCTGCTTGAGTTCTGTTAGGTCCACAGCTGCATTTCTATCTGGTTTCTCAGATCCACCTCCCAATGTCATCAGATTCACTGCCTGATTTCTATTAGCTCTGATTTCTATTCATTAAATTCAACCCCATCAAGTTTCTTTGAGGAAAATCATATGATTTCTGTCTGTCCCACAGCCAAATTTCTCTTAACCCCCTCTCAATTCCTTTTAGACTCCCAGTCCGGATTGGGGCAAGATTCACTTCACAGTATTTAGGAGAATCTCCTGCCCAAACTCCATTGGAAACACTGTCTGATTTCTATCAAACATTTCATACCACCTTTTTTCTGTCATTGTCTGATTCTGTGCACGTGATCAATCCATATTCTACCTGCCCCATCATCTAATCTCTCCCTGTTCCATGGTCTGTTTTCTATCTGTCCCATCATCTAACTTCAACGTAGTCCACAGCCTGGTTTTTGCTTGTTCTGCTGCTCTGTCCTTTGGTCACGCTGCTCAGGCCCTCCCACCTGCCTCTCTTGGCCGCCAGCTCCCCACCTGGGACACAAGGAGCTGCAGGTCATGTTCAAAGGTGCGAAGGGTCCGCTGCATAGAGCTGGCACTGGGTCTGGGCTCAGGCGGGGCAGTCAGGCGGGGCAGTCGCCTCCGCTTCTCCTCGATCTGTCCTTGAAGCTCTCGGGCATCACTGAAGAACTTGTGCAACTCCCGAGAGGCGGCCAGCAGCTGGGCCCGTGTGCCCATGAGCTCCAACAGCTCAGCCCAGGCCTCATTCAGCCCGTCCTTCCACTCCGCCATGGTGGCTGCCGCTGTGTGGCCGCACTCAATCAGCTCGTCCACCATCTGGTTCACGGCCGCCAGCCGCTCCCGCCCTGCCGTACCAGTCTCGTTGGCAAATTCCGAGAATTTCTCCTGCAGCACCTGCCAGCAGTATGTTGGGGATGGGGACATCGTGGGCAAAGGTGCTGTACATGAGAGCCCCCTCCAACCCAGCATCTTGTGGCAGGTAAGAGTAGTAACAGTACCAGTGATGACAATGATAACAAAAAATAACACCCAACACTTACTGAGTACTCACTCTGTAGCAATAATAGTAACAACAATAATGAAAATAAGAAAATAATACTTAACTAACACTGTGTTAGGCCCTGTGGATGCTGAATACTGTCCTAAGTGCATTATATTACATTATATTAATTCATTTGTCTCACAGCATAGCCACGATGTAGTGCTATTATAATCCTCTTATTAAGGATGGGGATACTGAGGCCCAGAGAACTTAGTAGCATACGTGGTGGCCACTAGAACCATTGTTTATTCCTAGTGATGCTCAACTTACCGTGACATGCTCAAAGTCCTGGCCGAGCTCAGGTGAGCCGGCCACCACCTCTTTCTCTGCAATCCAGTGCTCCAGCTCGTCCACCTGGCGGCTGAGCTGGTACAGCCAGTACTGCTGTTCCAGGCCCACCCGGCGTTCCTCGCCCAGCTCCTTGAGGGCCACGTACAGGCGGTCCACCTGAGACTGCCGCCGGCTGATCTGCTCGCTAGTAGGGGACAGGGAAGAGCAGAGATGGAGCCCCCTGAGATTTCCAGAACAGAGCTCTGACCCCCCTGTCACCCCTTCCCCCAAGGGCAGGGCTGTGCCTCCTCTGAACCTTCAGGCAGGGTTGAGTCCCCTCAGATTCCTGCATGCAGGACTGTTTTCCTCAAGTTTGGGATGCAGGGAGGTCACATGACCTGTCACCCAGGAGGTCTCAGGCCATGCCCAACCTCAGCACTCAGGGAAAACTGTTTCCCTCAGCTTGATAAGCTCACCACCACCTACCCCCTACCCAGCCTTCCAGTCTGAGGTCCCACATCTGACCCGCCAGCAACTTGGGTGGCACTCCAGATCCCCCACTTGGTTCCCAGACAACCAACCTCACTTCCAGGCCTGATCTCCAGGCTCAGGCGGACAGAGGTCTAGCCCTGTACCTCTGTCTCAGCTCTCACCCCTGGTCCAAGCATCTCAGATGTGGCCCCTACACCTAATCTCATGGAGGTCACATGACCTGTCACCCAGGAGGTCTGAGGCCATGCCCAATTACAGTGCTCCAGGCTTTTCTGTCCTCCCAGATACCAGTAGGAAGAGGACCCTTCTCTGTCCTGAGCTCTTACTTCTCACCTCGGTCTTAGACATCGCCCCCCTCCCCTACATTTAAACCTCAGTGCTCCTGGCCGGACTCCCTCAAACATCCCTGTGCAGGGCTCCTCCATTCTGAGCCCCTCCCACCCCAGTGCCCAATTCCGGCTCTGTCCCAATTTCCAACAGGGAAACTCCAGATTCTGCTGGACCATTCCCTAAGAATGGGCCCCGCCCCTGCCTGGCCCGGATCCCCCCGCACGCCCACCTGTCCGGGTGCCCCATCTCCAGTAGCGCCCGGCACTGGCGCGACAGCTGCGCGATGCTTTCCTCGTAGTTCTCCACGCCCTGCTCC